ACATATTTTCGCATGTGATAAAAGTCATAATTCCCACAAAGCTGGCATGCTTAAATAATATAACACAAAAAAGGGCTGCCTAATAATCGAAGGTGCCCCGCCGTCCAGGGAACACAATATGAACGTCGAAACGTAAGATAGTAATAACTGCGAATACAATAATTTGAAAATTAATGCAAAAATTATAAGTTCAAATGTAATAAAAGTATAGTAATAACGTTGTCAAGTAGAAATGGCCAAACAAATTACTAAACTAACCAAACCTAATCAAACCTAACCAAACCTAATCAAACCAAACCTAATCAAACCAAACCTAACCAGACTTAACCAGACCTAACCAAACCTAACCTAACCAAACTAATCCCTAACCCATTTCTGCTGTCAAAGATATCACGTATAAATAATATTATTTTAGACTATTAACTGATAACAAAACACGGTTACGGTAATAATAGTTTTACTCGATATTTTTGCCTATTGTTGTTTATTTGTCCCCAACTTATATATGATACGTTGTAAAAGCTTCAAAAATACGAATGATGGTTTTTTTTTTATATTTTGTTAACGACAATCTGCCATAAATTTGTACGAAATCATTATTATTATTTTTTTTTTTTACCAAAACACCCAAACAAGAGTGTTTTTCATTCATTGAAAAGACTAACGCGAGGCACCGCGTGGAAAAATAATCGGATTGCAGCTGGTAATAGATACATTTTTCTTCTTTATCATTATATTATATGGTCGCCTCGTGGTGTACTCTTATATATATTTTAATTATGCCGAACATAACACAAATAACAATCAAATAGCTACACCGCTTAGCTCAAGAACCGTTTGCAAAACTGCCAAAATCGTATACGTATATACTTACTTGTGTGATGTTTTTTTTTTTTTTTTTTTAAAACCTTTCACACAACAAACGATTGAGCTAAACGGGTGAGAGAGAGGAGATCGTTTGAACTCGAGCCAATTTCTTTTCAGAGAAACAAGAAAAAAAAAACGAAAATCAATTTAACTTCATTATTAGCGAGAAAAGAAGTAAAAAAAAAAAAAAACCAAAACGAGGTTCTAAAGATAAACATGAAAAAGGAGCGTTTTACCTCTTATTGCACGCAGCTCGTGTAATAATATATTATGTACATACAAACATATTATATAGCCGTCGGTGGGAAACAAAAGAGAACTTTGTCGCGACCGTGTGCTTCGTGGAAGTTTATATCACTTGGCTTTGATGTGACAGAAGAAGCCAACGGGGTTTTTTTTTTTTTTTTTTTTAATCGAGTCAGGTGCGATACCGTTCAATAAAAATACATACATATATATATATATATATATATATATTGACGGAAAGCGACCACTTGAGAACTTTTTTTTTGCAATAAATAACTCTCCTTTGACGGTTAAAAATTATTAATTTCTTTCGACTGTGTACAAAAAACTTCTTCTTTTTTTTTCTTTCTTGTCGACTATCATATTATGCGTTATTAATAATAAATAAAAAGGAATGGGGGGGGGGGGTGCAGCAAACGTTGAAGAGCACAGACTCTTTTTGATGTGAAGTAACCATATATACCGCCGCTAACCTAACCACCACACCACCACCGCCACCACCTCACATACATCAAAGAAGACGTTTGATGAATTTGGAGAGACGGTTTTTTTTCCATTCATTTCCCGTCCCATCGTCGCTTCGTTTCCCTTCGGAAATCAAATCATGTGACCAATGACGTTTCACACACTGTTGCCTTTCGGTGTACTATTCTCTAATATGGTACCAACAGGGTTATTGCGGGGCCTTCTCGCCCGCAGCGGCTTTGTCGCCACCACGCGCGTTCTTCTGTATTATATACAAAATAACATGTTCATACAGTCGAAGTGTGAGATAATAATAATAATAATAATAATAATAATAATGACGGCAGGGTTTCTCAAAATAAACGTTTTCTTAACGTCGCGCGCTCGCCAAAAATTCAAATACACACAGCCAGCAATTCGCCGAATCGTGCTTGGCAACCACTGGCTAACCTAACCAAACCTAACCAAATCTAACCAAATCTAACCTAACTTAACCTAACCAACCTAACCCAACCTAACCCAACCCAACCTGACCCAACCCAACCTAACCTAACCAACCTAACCTAACCTAACCTAATCCAACTACCGCCTTTATGTTATTGAAAACCTTAAACAAACGCGACCAGGCAAAACTATCACAACAATAAAATTGTTGTTATTTGGCGAAAGAGTTATAGAAAATTACACAACACAAAACCCAAACCAAACAAAATATCAAAGGTTTACGTTGAGACAGGTCACAGGTTAGCCGTTGCTCTCCCCGATTACCTTAGGATAGGTTACCAGGTAACGTTAGGTAAGGTCGGGTTTGGGTTACCCTTTTACATTTGGTTAGCTATACAGTTACCTGATATGGTTAGGTAAGGTCGAACCTGGGAAATTTTTATTTTTATCACAAACATTAATCTCCAACATATAAAGAGTTACTCACTTTAGGTAGGTACATTTTATTTTTAACTGCATCAAAAAAATGTTGCAATCAAATAAGATTTTATGTACAGTTCAAGTAAATGACAGTTTAAATTACTACATAATATTAATTTTTTATATTATCATTTATAGTATACATTGTATAGTTTACGTAACATTAACATTTTTCAAATTTGAATTTATTCAAATAAATAATTAATATATACGATTTAGATTTTATTTGACGTCGTTTTAAATTTCATTTTTCTTTAATTATTTAAAAAAAACAAAAAAAACAGTTAACCTAAAAATTTAAATGAAAATGTATTTAAATATTACATACACATAATATATACATATTTATATTTTGATTTAACCAGTTTTAAATAAAACATTAAATTAATTTTAATTTGAACGAATTTACGCTAAAATATAAATAATTCTAAATTATTATTAATGGGACTTGTTTTAAATTACAATATTAATGTACTAACATTGGATTTTTCATTTTAATAATTATTAAAAATAATGCCCAAGTTCAGGTTAGGTGAGGTTACCAGTGGATTTTTTTTTTTATTAATCTAAAAAACCTAACCAGAAAAAATGGGTTTTATTGGGTGAAGGTGTTTACAATATTACACTAATAGCCAATAAGATAATTACAATCTGTCAAAATTTAAAATCAATGAACTAATACCTAATAAAGAAAAAAAACTAAATAATATAAGCAGTATACAAACCCTTTAAATCATTACAATTTGAAAAATATAAATTCTTGCATAGGTCTAAACGTTTGAATATCTTATAAAAATTAAAACCGAGAATAAAAATGGTATTAATCTTTCAAACTTCATGTTTTACTGATATAGGTGATACTACAATATTAATTAATTAAGTACCATTTATTATTTATTATTATTCTATCAAATTGATCTAAAAAAATACTACACTCATCTTTTCTTTCCAGTTTGAAATTCTAAATAATTAAAAACACTACAAATTTTACAATCACTGATCAAACTCACTTTAAATTGAATATCCGAGAAAGAAACTCAATCGGTCCCAAATATTTATTAAATAAATAATTAAGCAACTAAGTACAAACAAACCAAACCACCAAATATATGAAAATGCCCGGATAAGTATACCATACAAATAGATGCATACTCTGTTGACAATCTTTAGCTATCTATCGTTTTGGTTTTCATTATTTGTGTTCCTTTCATGATAATTTTAACCTACACCTTATAGACTGAAACAATTTTATTGATAAATTTACGATTCTTAAATTAGTTTTGTATCAAATGTCAAATTTAATAAAGAAACAATTCTAATTAAAACCTTTTCAGATAAACATGACAAGAAGCAATATAGTCTTCTAATGAAACAACTCATTCGTTGTCAATATGCATCCGAAAACAGTAATTCAATTTAAGATCAATGTGTAAAATATATAATAGGCAAAATTAAGAATTTTTCAAGTCAGTTTTTATTGATGTTTATAAGTCATTGTAGCAGTGCCCAGAAAGAACGCATTCAAAAGGAATTGCTATTTTTTTTTTTTATAATAAGAAATTACAACGCTATTAATAATATAGGTTATGATTTTACTTTTAGTTTAGCAGTTAAAATCTTAATGACAGATTCCGTTGCTCTTGCAGTGTTTGATAAAAAAGATTGTCGATCGTTATCAATTATTATGTTTATAATTGTTTGTGTACAACTTTTATGACAATGAAGTTAGCCAACTGCATAATACAAAAGCTATGGAAAGGTTTGTTAATAATAATTAACGGTCACTAAATGTAAAAACTGCAATTTTTTAAAAAACTGACACGTTAAAGTGAGTTACGATCGAAACTGTGTCGCACCCGTTTAGAGGATCTTTTCTGGACGGCTTTGAACACATATCTAGAATAACGGACGACGAGGACAATATTAAATCGAACAAAAGCGCATAGCTTTGATCGTTTAAACGTTGCCGGAGACGACACAAAGTAAACAAAAGTTTACCGACAAGTGTCGCCGTGATTAAAACGGCCCCAAAAAAGTGTAAGGTGTGCAAGTGTAAGTAGGTAAGTGGTTAGGTGTTACCACGTCGTCGTCGGCGCACCCTCCGCGGTTTTAAAGCGGATTAATTATCACGGCCGAGCGAGCAGCCGTGTACGGGCAGCGCGTTTGATACCTTTGGCGTAAACAAAACGAGCGCACACCAATCGTTGCTTTTGAACAAATACAAACAAAAAAAAAAGAAGGTTATAGAAAACGCATTATACACCTTTTGTTGTGTGTAATGAAATAAAATAAAAACGGCTCTTCCGGAGGGGAGACATCAAAGGGATTTTAATATTATTATTATTATAATCACGGCCCCTCGGGGGGGTGCCGACCGTCGTGGGGTGGCAAAGGCGGCGGCGGTCGCTTAGGGTGGCGCAGGGTTAAACGGCCGCCGCCGCCTCCACATCAAAGCGAAATGGTTAAGCCTTTGACACAGAGCTACGCAACAAACTCACCTCCACTCAAACGGTCGTCCTCCTTTGATGTTGTCCGTGCGCCGTGGTAAACGTTGTCCGCGCCGCCGTACGTGGAAAACCGACGGAAATCCGATAGCGACACTCGACGGCACAACGGGCGTCGCGAAACATGTTTTTCACACAAAAAGACACCAAAAATAATAAATTATGATTTTACACACGTTTTTTATTGAGAAATTCGGTTTTCTTGCGGTTGTTGAAATCGTCGCCCGTATCTAAGCGACTAAATAATAACAATAATCACGCGCACACAATAAAATATGAAAAAATTCAAAATTTACCAAAAAAAAAAAATCAAAAATCAAAAAAAAAACCAAACAAAACAAAAGCACTCAACGCGCGCCCGACCGAATTCCTATGCCGCCGATTACCACCGGGTACCTACTGCGTGTGTTGTGTGCACTGCGTGTCTGTGTGCGCGCGCTGTATCCAATCCGACATATAAAATGTAATATTTTACCGCACAGTCTAGACGGTGCGTGCACTGTGCTGTGCACGGTGTCTTTTATTTTTTTTTTCATTTTTCTTATAACGTACCGTCTCTGCCGGACAGGGGTGGGGGTGAACGGGACCGCGGTACGCGCGGTTACTGGTTTCCGGTTGAAGCCGCGCGAGTCCGGTTACGCGGAATAGCCGCCGCCGCCGATGCTGCTGCTGATAACAGCTACGAGCAGCAGAAGGGTCACTTTGGATGTAAACACCGACGGCCATTTTCTTAAAAATCTGTGTTTAATCTCTGTGATGCGCGACTGTACCTATAATAGTTAATAAATAATGTAAGGGTGTACAATAGGCAATGGCCGTACATTATATAAGCGGTGCGGATTTAAGAATTGTGTGTTCAGTTTTTATCAGACAACTGCCGTAGAGGCCGGACGCGGAGAGCGCGCGCCACCTGTGGGACAACCCGCGAACGCCCGGCGGAATGTCTCCGAAGTGGACCGTTGAGATTCAAAAATCCAAATAAAAACCGTACCCTCCTTTTACCTGAGGTTCAAAAACAACATTCTTATGGTAAAAACCGCATTCTTAACGATAGTCTATCGCGTAGCCAAAGTCACAACTACTCATAAATGAAAGAGCCAAACAATATGAGAAAATTATTTTATCAGTAAAACCTTTGAACGCGATTAAGGTTTTTCTAGTCACTACGCTAATGTTCTGGTAGTGGTGCCAATTTATACAAAACTGTCAAAGTACCTACCAAAATGCTCTGGACATGTTTAAATATTAAATAAAACATTTTAAGTGAGAACTAATATCACCTCAAATAGACCATACACCATCGAGTAGTGTACAAATTAAAAATATTCCATATTTTGAAGGGTACAAAACAGGCAAGTCACTGTTAAAAAATTGCTATTTTGATGTTATGAAATTCGATTTGATGCGAAACCCGTGTTATGGTCTTTATTTTTAAACGTTAATAAAAACAAAATATATTGTATTAATTGTAATTTAAAATATGATTATTATATTATTAGGTATTCGTGTCTCAAGTTCAAAACTGTAGTAATAATTTAATTTAAAACGCTAAGAAGTATTGTAAATTTAAACTTATGCAAACTCCGATACTAGTTTGGGGATTTTTAAAAAGGTATATATTATTTATTTTATTAATTGATGTTGTTAAAATTTTGAGTTTTTAACCGAAAAAAACATCCTGCTTACCGTAAAACCAATTTTAAGCACCAAAATAACTAAAACTAAAAATAAAATATTTTATAAAAATGTATAAAAAAGTTGCCTTACCAAAAATGTTTTTATCATAAAATAAAAGTTTAAATATTTTAGCAATGACATTTAATTTAAATAAAATATGCAAACAGATTTTTTTTTTTTATCAAAATGACATTTTTTTGCACAAATATTGCACACTGTGAAAGCAACAACTATTCAACACAACATACATAATATTATATACTCATAGACATTTCTTAGTAGGTATAAAATAATACCCTTAAACATATAATGTTCTTATTTATAATATTAATAATTACATTTGAACGGTTTATCAATTATAATAATTTATCTAATATTACATTTTTGTCATTATTCTATTATAAAATATTTGTTTTAGTTGGTATGTACTCTATTTTCTTTCTGTTTGTTGTATTATTTGACGGTACCTTGTACAAAATGTTGTAAGAAAGAATTGAGGATGATAAATAAAACACTAAATACTCATTTTCTTATTTTATCATTTTATCAAGATCACAATTTTATAGTTTTTCGATAGAGCTATGAAAAATATAAACATTTGGTATTTTGATAAAATTGATTAAAAACATAGTAAATTAAAAAGTTTTAAAAAGGAAAAACTATAGAATTGTATGCGCAATATTGTGTGAGATTATCTTTATAAATTATTGGGCTGGGCCATAGATAAAAATATAAAAAGATATTAACCATACTTGCGGTATAAACCTGGTTACACAAAAACCTAACCTAACTTTTTGATTTATTTCTTCCGGCTGCGACCAAATAGATTTTATTAGAATTTTTTTGGTTTTTGACTTTCTGTGTCATTTTTGATTTTACATAAAACTACTTTACTAATATTATGCATCGTGCATTTAAGTAAGTATTTTAAATGGTAAACGTTTTACTAATTAATCGACGTTTTTTATTATACCATGTTCAACTACAGCTACGTTTAAATCTGAGTAAAAACGTTTTTGATTTTAAGTTAAGTGCAATTATTTTTAAAATATATTTACATATAAGGGTATCATTGTATAAGTTTATGACTAGCCGCTGGCCCGAGTTGGCCGACAATATTATTAAATTTTAAAAATAATTATAATTTGTTCCGACACAGGTGTATAACCGAAATTTTGTTCTTTACCACAGACTATTTAGGACAAATATAGATTAAAAATAACGGTATTACTATTTTACCCATAATAGTATAAAATCACCTTACCACTGTTTTTATTGCAAGCGAGAATAGGGCAAAAGAGGTAGCAAATATTATAATAACAGTTATTTGATTTCAGTCAAATCACAATCTACCAATCATTATATTTTGTTTTGAATACAGCATTTTTATTATAAGATACCCAATGAAAATTTATTTCTTCATAATTATATATTATATCATTTAGTTTGTATTTTCAATTTTATTTTTTATAGTTTTTCAATAGGCCAGTTTGAAAAAGAAAATTAAATTTTGAATGACACAAAGGACATGTATAAGCATTAACAAATATGTAGACATAATAGAAACCTATTTGTTTTAAATATAACGGAAAAGCAGTTAGACTTAAAATTTACTTTTAAGTTATGAATGCGTTCTTAAACAAAATTTTAACTAAATTAAAATAAGTTTAATCACCATTTTTTTTTTATTGATAGTTGGTATTTTTTCACCAAATTTTGGTGCATGTCTGATTCAAGCCTGGATGTGATATTTTTAAATAATTTGAAAACAATGATTTATTTGAAATCCATTTTTGTTTGACCATTTAGAATAACCTGTTATTTAAAAGCAAAATATTTGATTTTTTTTTAAATATATAAATGTTTAAATAATGACTAGGTTTGGACTCTGGCGACAGTGAAATTATTTTCGGTTTAAAAATGTAAAATATTTCAATATGCGAGAATTGTTCAAGGCAAAGTCACTGATCTTAACAGTTCAAAACAATTCTTAGATTTGTAAGATTAAAAAGTACATACATTTAAACCTGTTATTTTTTCTACTTCGAATCTATAAAGTGCTGTGCCGTGAATATAACGTTTATTCTACACAATGTACCCATACAAATATTTATTGTATTTAAACCTCAGCATTTTTAATTTAATGAAATAATAATTTGAAAATAATGATTTATTTTGAAATACTTTTTTATTTTCTGGATGAAATAAATTTGTAATTCATTTTCATTTACTACATAAAATAATAATTATTATTTATTAAAATTATCTGTTTCATATTATCTGTACTATACATAAACATTTTGTTTAATGTTTTTCTGATTTTATTATTTTATCTTTTTTTTAAACTGTAATTATAGTTTTCATTTAATTTAAAAAAAAATGATAATGTACTTAAACAATTGTTCCATGTGTTATTTAAACATAAATGTATTTGAAATTATCATTTGGATATTTATTCAAATTAAATCAAAATGTTATTTATTATTTTAGCTCTTGTTTAAATACACTTGGATAGTATACACGAGTCATCATAATCTTAGATAGCTAAACACTGTTATTAAATTTTCATTTTAACTATTCACCTTCTGAAGGAATTTTCTCCAGAGGTGAGAACTATCAGTACATCATGCTGCATTATGCACGTTGGATAGGATATGATAAATTGATCACCTTTTATTTAATCTGTCTTTTTTTCGTGTTGAAATTAACTGAGTGAGAGACAGATGGTTTGGCTAGCCGACTACATACTTTATGCGATGATAAGGTAATTATAAAAGTAATAACATCACTTAATTCATGATATGTGAATTATGTAGGAATTTCGATCATAAGAAAACTCATTTCTTTCTCAGATGATTATTAATAATAAATACATCATCTTTAAATACAAGAAAATCCATTTTTTTTTATATTTCATTAATTTATTTATTAAAATATATTTACACATAACACATAATATAAGAGTAATTTATTAACAATAATATGACATTTTTATGACTTCACAATTTACAAGAATTATTATTATTATATTATCTATATTAGCACTTTAAATTATTAATGCCTACATAAGTATTACAAGTCCTAAATGGATTTCTTTTTGTACAAACATTTTTATGGACACATTGTAAACAAAGTTTGAATTGTACAATTTATAATAAGAATTATTCAAACACGATAATATTGACACAAATACTTAAGGCTTAAGTTATACAAAAAAAAAAAGTCTATTAAATAACTGGCAAGGTGAATCGAAAAGTTGAAAAATACACTATAAATAATTTAATAAGAATTTAAACAGCAATAAAATCTTCTATTTTAATTACAAATAGATATAATGCTTGCTAGTGTACTAGGATTGTTAAAAAACAAAACGTTTTGAGTATTAGTTAAATTAAAATCTGGGCAGTTATAAAAGGAATATACAAGAAAATTAGTATCATAATATTATATACTTAATACTACTGTAAAAAATAAAAGTATACTCTTAATTTAGTAATAATTTATAAATAAACTCTTACAGACAATTTAACCTAAAATATGTATATCGGCATGTTGACTTATTTAAGTGCTATATAAAACAATAAATAGGTTTGAGTTTTTGTTTTTTAATTTACTTTAATGAAGGATAATGCAATGATAACTTAGCCAAAAGCCTAATAATGTATCATGTGTGTGTGTGTGTAATGTGTATTACAATAACATTACCTACCGTTTAAATGCCATTAATATTAAAACAGATAATTTATATTATTTAAAAAAAATGATTGATTATGTTTATAATCATTAACTGTTTTTATTTAAGTCTATTACTTTAATATTATGCTGAATAAATTCGTTGTGTAGTCAACAAAAACCTTTACACTAAAACATGGCATTTTAATGGATAATTCTTACATAACGGGCTATCAGTCGTGTTTATACGTATAAAGTATAACAATTAAGTTACTTAGATCATAGGTACAACCATAATAATATAAAATATTTTTAATACACTAGTCGTCGTATTATGTTACGGGTAACAATAACAGCTAGCGGTTGCCATTTTCTTAGCAAAAGACAGACACTCGGTTGAGTTTGGTAAATATTGCGCGTTGCTAATTCAAATGACTATTGTTTCTGTGGGAAATTGGAAATCTCTCCTGAACGGTCTTCTCCTGCTCTTCAATCTCCTGTGCGGTCTTGATCGAATCAGCTGAGGGGGTGGTAAAAGATCTATTTCTTCTACAAACCTGGGACCCCGCTCGGGGGGCACTAAAAAGGGCGGCACTTGTGGACCGGACGACAATATTAAGGGGTCTGGACTTATAATGCTTTGTTCGACAAATCCTGCACATTGAGCAGCGCACACGTCATCTTGCATCATTTTGTCCACGCCGACTTCGTTCATCAAGCGACCGCAGTCAGTAACCCTTAACGACGCACAGTTGGGCTGCAAATACAACAAACACGTTAATTGAACAATTTTTTTTAGTTTAAACACCTAAAAATGTAATAAATACCCCTTCGGGCGTGCAAATGCAACTCGTGCAAGGTGACGGCAAATGCGACTCTCCTACTGCAATGATACGACCGTTAATGTTACAGTTTTGTCTGCTGTCTTTCCACAAAGTCAAATCGATCGACGGTAGCACCGGGCAAGGTAGTCTCGGGTTCCTACATTTGAAATAATAAAATAAGTAACATTTTAATTCGCAATAAAATCGAGTTCTCGGCATTCTGCAGTATGTCAAGGACGATCCACGTAAATTTACATATTTAGTGTTGTACCGATTTTCTATAATGTTCCAACTACTAATCCAATGCAATAAACTTCTGTTTTTGTATAAAAGTATTGAGAATTTTATAGTTTTATAGAGTTTAAGTTTAATTTTAATTCGGTATAGTTTAAAAAAATATTATATAGTTTACTTATTCGAGAACAGTTGTATTAAAATATAATATGCTAAGTAACAATATCCGACTCCCACCACTTGTACACATGAATTGTGGCAAGTTAAAAAGGTATTAATGTTTTGGAAAAATATTCTCAATTATCGTTTACTTACAAATAATCATTAGGCTGATCAAAAGCGGCCTTTTGCATATCGCTCATAACATCCAAGTTTTCACATAATATTTTTGACAGAGTAGCTTTACGAATTTCAGTGAGCTGAGCTTCTGAAAATCTCAATAACGGATCATCCGTTTCATACCTGTTAAACGTTATAAATCAATTGTTTTGATACAACGAATAGTCCTTAACATTAGGATCAATTTTAGGAATCAATTTTGTTAGTGAATTGATAAGAGTGTTGTTTGTTAAAAGATACCACAGGGGTGTTGTGAAAGAAAGAGGTGTCATTTAGAGTGATATTAAAGTTTTTATAAAACTGCCGTTGGGCCAGCAATGTTAAAGGGAACGTGATATGATGACAAAGATAAAGTGATGTAAAATTGAGATGAAAATTACCAGAAACGATCACATTGCTTTAGGTGTCTGAACTGTAAACCAATAATGCATGCAAACGTTGGACCAACAAGTCCGCCTTGGACTGGATATTCGCTGAGACCTCCAGGGAATAAATCGATATCGTCTGGGCTTGCATAAATCGTTTTAAATCTTGCAATGACATCTGGGGACATTTCTCTTGTTAAATCTTCCCACGCAATTGCTCGTTGAAGGCCACATCTTACACGAAGTGCGTTGTATGAAGGTACAGCGTGATCTCGAGCTAAACATTTAAAATGGTAATTCGTTATCATTGGTGGTTTGGTAGAAACTAATCGATTCTGGATTTAATTACAAATTACAGTAAAAGCTGAAAGCGCTTACCGCGTTGAACATTGAGTGCGGATAGATCCACTCCAGAATGTGGTATTTTCTTGTTTTCAAATAAATGATTGGTGATTTCAGCTGTTATAAACTGGTCTAAATTTTCCATTGGCGTGCTAGCTTGGCCTCTAACTATTTCATCAGTCATTTGATCCTAATTTAATGAAAATGGTTTAAATAAGATACAAAGGTATTATACAAATGTAAAATCTAAGTACTATAATAAAATCGTATTAAAAATTACTCTGAAAATGATATCCGGATTGAAAAAGACATCTCTGAGTAATATGGCTGGTTCTATAGGTTGGTATGTTGGTGACATCCTAGGAATGTGTGGTCGTAATAAACTATGGCCAATTCGGAAAGCAGCTACGACGAATTCAGCAAATGGGCCGGGATGGCAGTCGGGCGTATAACCTAGAAAACCAATTAAAAGGTTGATTAATAAGCCATGGAATACAATTTAAGCATATTACAATTGAATTACTTTTATAATATCCAGTCGAAGAAACCCTTAAATCATACTTATCAACAGCGTTCCAACCCAAAATCCTTGGTAGAAATTCGTTATAAACAATATGTTGGTACGCCGCTGTAAATATTTTTCTGGTATTTTGATACAACGTATCGTCATTCCAATGAGGGTTTAATCTATGCAACACTTCTGCGATACGATTATGCTCTCTTAAAAATATTGTATGCATAGCTGTTAATCCTGGTTGTTCACTCACTCGACCATCGCCTATCAAAAATTATTTTGTACATTCATAATGGAAATAATTTAATGCGATAGCTACAAACCTCCAATAAAACAATAACCAGATTGAGCTTTACACTCAGGATGTATGGGCGACTGTGGAAGCAAGTCCTTTCTTCCCGGTATGGGATGTATGGTGACATTAAGTTTACCGATATAAAACGCTCTGAGATCTTTTGCCATGCACGAATCCGAACCATAAACCGTGGATAGATCCAAATAAGCTGAATTTTGATTAATTTGATCTCTAGGACCTAGTCGTTGTTGGCCTGGGAGAGACCTCATGAACGGTAAACACATGCGTTGCCCGGTGGTTAAATTTATCTGGGGAAAATATGGATCGCCGGGAGGAATCGGTATAGGCATGCATTCCGGATGCACAGTCAATGGACTGTCACATGAACGACAGTCTGGTATGGATGAAAAGTATCCTAAAATCGAACATTTACGTGTTGAGTATTTTTTTCTTATTATTTACCAATTGTTAGGTAGATACATTAATTTGATTTCGAGTTTTTTAATGTAACAAATTAGTAACCTCGGTGAACAGGCGTAAACGTTATATCGTGGTCCAATATTTGAGCGAATTGCATAAGAGTAAGCGTGTAACGACCGTGTAGATGACTAATATCTGGATGAGACATAGCACTTACTAATCTTGCAGATGGCAGCGGAGAACCAGTTACGGACGTTAATCTCGGATGATTGATTCCTAAAGACGGAAAGAAAACATGTTCGTTGAACCTATTCGGTTTTATATTATGTATTCTAATAACGTGCGGTGTTTACCATTTTCGTACACTGCAGGCAAGATCCGTTGGAACGTTGTCATTGCCTTGCCGAAATTCGGGTTCTTTAAATTATTGCAATAACCGCTGAACGTTCTGAACGGATTTAAAATATTGCAATTGTCAGTTTCAACGGGACATTCGCCTTCGGCGTGATGAAGAGGCGGAGGAGATAGTTCGGTTAGCTCGAGGCCATCGAAAAACCCAGGGCTTATCGAGTTCAAACTAAATAACGGATCACCACTGTCCAAGATCTGACGACGGCGACGTCTAAATACATCATACAAGTCAATTACCTAATACAGTTTATTACATTTACTATTGGTTTTTTATTTTATTTTATAAATTACCTTTTCCCCAAAGACTTTAGCAGCTCTCTGGAAGCGAACTCGAATAACAAGGAGTTGTTTGCTAATATCAAAGCCGATTTACTAGCTTTACTAAACGCCGCGGCTGTTCCCATGGGCGATTTCGGATCGACTCCTCCTTCTGTAATGTTTGTTTTTATACAATAAATTCGTTTTATTATTACTTTTAACAATATAGTTTATTACTTTTTGACCATAACAAAAATTCCGTTTGCTTTCTTCTACTAACGTCATCTTCAGCCTTCCTCCACGCTTCCTTTACTAATGTGTCATCAACGGTCTCTGTCAATTCTCGTTCCGCATACTTTACTGGTAATTCGTCACTGTCTAACGGTTTGTCTTTCCATTGATACAAGTCTAATTTAGGATGTTGGTCGCAGTTTATCGGATGATTTCTACACACAATTTTAAGGATTAAGCAATTAAACCGGAAGTACATTGAAACCGGCTAAAATTTTGCCTCTTACAAGTAATCGTCTCGATCAATAAATGCTTTTGGTTGCATTGTGTTAACGTCGTCGAAATTCGAACAAACCATTCCCGCCATAGTCGTTTGCCTTATTTCTTGTAACTGATTTTTGCTGAACGTCGTTGGTGGAAAATCATTTTCGTACCAGAATCGGTCGGCGTCTTTAATTTTGGAAAACTGTTTTGCTATCAAACAAGAAAATGTCGGACCGAATACCGCTCCCTTTAGAGGAGTTTCCAATAAACCACCGGCCAACAAATCTATATCGCTGTCGTCGTCCCTACAATGGAATATTTATAAATTAACTGCGAATGTTCATTGAATACAGTTAATTATTTGTATGCATTATGCACAGTGCATACCTATTTAATGTTTTTAAATAATAGCTATTCGATTCGGTAGTTCTGTTAGCGCATAGGTTCTTCCATGTTTTGTAAGCAGGAATTTTCAACTGCCTTCCCAGGCTCAAAAACGCCTCGATATCTATAAAAAAATATGTAAGATTATAAAGATACACTGACGATAGTTAAAGACTTATCAAGGCGTCTTACTAGATTTGGACAAATTGTTGTTGGTCGTTCCGCCCAAATTTTTTTGCTGGTTTTTATCAAAAATAATAGCTGGCAATATAGGCAAGACGGTTGCGAATATACTTTGCAATACTCCCGGTCTGATAGCACTCGAATATTGTGTATAGTATCCGCGCTTTAGAGGGATTAAATTCCATTCGTTTACCGTGGCCTGTCGAATCGAAATTCCCACGATATTGAAAACCCATTGGAACGGCTTGTGTGTTTTTTTAATTTACTCACGTGTCCGACGACATTGGGAATAAATTCGTTGTACGTGATGTGCTGCAGCTGAGCTATTGTTATTCGTCTGGCTTCTTCATAAAGCGTATCGTTCGACAATTTCGGATTGATTTCCCTAATCGCGTCCACCAGACGGTTGTGCTCAGATATTAACAAACGATGAACCGTCGTAGTATAGTTAAATTTAGAATTTTCAGACGTCGAGCTAATTATTGAACACAATGCCGTATTAATAATGTTCACTGTCCATAACACGTGTACCTAAATGTAATAATATTATATACAGACCTAAAGCAAGAACTCGATTCGAGGTGGCCAGATTCAGTTCGTTTAATCGATAACAATGATGTTTCGCACGAAATATTGTTGTACACTGGAGACGCGTCCAAAAAACTAGTGGCAGCATTGAACAGAAAATCGCCTTCTATAAATAATTACATATTATGCTAATAATTAAAACAAATAGATTTCCAGTGATAGTAGGAGTTCATCAAGGGTCAAATTAATGTCCATACTTCTTTTCACCTGTGGTGAGAGCTACAGAAAGAGTAATAAAATGCTAGATAATAAATTAGAGCAATGTAGGGAGACATTATCTACTTAGAGTTTGAGTTTGGTAATAAGGAGGTTTTAGAACAAGGCAGAGTAGATGGTGAGTAAGTTAGTGAAATTTAAGTACTTGGGATCAGTTATGCCAAAGAATAACTGAGGAATTGAAAAAGATTAAAATATGTTTGAGTGAGCTGAAAAGATGCAAAAGGGGATGTTGTGTTACACAGAAAGGAGTCATTAAGAGTGAAACGAAAAATTCTATAAAATTGTGTTGGACCTCACAGCGATATAAGGAAGTGAGTGTTAGGTATTGGATAAGAGGAAGTTTAGGTATGAGAGAAATATGGATGGATAGAGGGTTTAATAAAAAGTGAGACTATGACTGACTGATCCCATTTGTATTGGACAAGGTGGAAGAGCTCCAATGAGACGCGCGAAGATGAGGAGGTGTTGTTTAAATATGAATTACATGTTACCTGTTATGTTTGCAATGGCCAAATCTTGCCTAATAAAATCTGCCCACATACCAGACAGAATTGTTAGGTGATTATTTCCAACAAGGTGGACGTTACTTAGCGTTTCGGCTACGTCAGAGAGTTCAGGCCATTTGTTTGACGAATAACCGTCTAAATACATAAAAAAAATAACTTACTTACTTTTAATATTCCCTAAATCGTTTAAATATAACATGTAGGTATTCACCTTCGGTCTCGGCAGACAGTTGTAGGAATTGAGAATTTTGTATTCCCCAATTGGGATGATGTACGTTGTTGCATCGTCCATCTACACTTCTGTATTTGCTGACCATACATTTTACACGGTGTGAACTACCGTCACTTATGGTACTGACTAGGGGATGTGTTCCCAGTGTCAAAAATAGGCTACAAGTTATAAAACAAGTGCATATTAATATTTTGCTTTAGATATGCGAATACAACAGCTTTACAACGGTTATTTTTTATCCAAGCCGTCTCGAGTGTAACGAGATAATATTATTTCACTATTGTCATTGTCAATTATTACAGTATTTTATTCGTTTAAAACGAACAGTGTCACGCTGTGTGTACGTCAAACAGTAGCTATTCTAAAATACAGTTTACATTGATTAAGATAGCTACTGGTTAACGACTATTATTTCATACAGGCACCAGTATGTGTTTACAATAAATTTTTTTACCGATTTTCACTTTTAACTATTTATCATTTCTATAACATGATACACGCTATCATCATTGTTCAGTATCGCTTTTTCTGCCACATCCGTTTCTATTCACACAATCTTTTCGAAAATGCAATTAATGAAAATCAAATTTCTATACATATATATATATTTATTAAATACACAGAAGATTAAAACACATTTCCACTGCACATCCATCATAATATTATTGTAACAATAGTTTTTTTGTCCGGATAGGCAATGTTCGATTCAGTTCAATTATTTCTAACAGCTGTCATCAAACAAAAGTACTTTATATATTTTTTTCAAAACCATATCCCTAACATTGAAATAAAATATCAAATACAGTTCGTTTACTAATTTGAATGGTTTACTGTGTACGTTCATACAAAAATTACACCTTTTCTTCTTAAATGTCTTAGAATTTATTTTGTTATTCCTACTTTAATAAGCCGTACAAAAGATAACAATGGACGTTGTATGTATTACATTCTATTCGTTTACCCACAACAGTTAGAAAACTATTAAACGTTTTCACGAACTAATAACATTACATAAACGTTATTTTTCATTTAAATTTCTAATAAAATGTATATATTTATTTAATAATAAAGGGAAAAAATCCAATAAAATATATTGTATTTATAAGATATTAAATGCATAATAATAAAATAACAAATTTCAACAAAATTGTCAAATATATGGTAAAACTTGTTAATGAGACAATTTTTTTTCGTAAAGATTTATATAAAAATATTCGTTTCCTGCCATTTGTAAACAAATATTTAAACGTTTTTTTTTTTACGTTGTTTTTAATTAAAAAAATAATTTAAGCAAAAAACAAATTTGTTATCATTAATAAAAATTGTATTACCTACAAACAGTTTATAATAACTATAGCAGTTTATAGTTGTTTATTAACAATTATTATTTTTACATGCATTTTGTTCTTCTTATATCGCATTTATTATAAATGCCGGCTTTGTTTGTACTGACGAAATCATAAAACGTTGATCACCGAAATTAATTTGATTAAACAAAATGTAGATCATGATTTTCCTATTATATAATAACGTACATGGTCGTTACATATGCACAACACGTCTGTACCTATGCATTATTATTCTTGTGGTCGCCGGTAGTGTTGTTTTGATCTTACATCAAGGAAGGCTTCGGGCAGACGAAAGTTATGGTATGATTTCAAACGTAATATTATGGTGTAAGATTGTTTAGTTGAAAGTTTATCATAGCCATTAATAAATATAATTATAAAAAAAAAATTGGGTATTATTATAAAATATATGTATACATCTAAAACTACTATTCTACACAACACATTAAAAGTAACACACACGTTTGTATTATATTATTATTATTATTGCCTTTGGTTATTAAACAAAACATTCATCTTAACAAACATATACTATATATTATGCATACTGACTTAGTTAAAAAAAAACATGTGTCCGAGTACCTCACCCAAATGTTTTACATAATGTTTGACGTAACGACGAAAACTCTTAGAAAGTTTAGTCGATTATTTCAACTACTTACAAGTCATTGGCATATTTTCGGAAACTAAACGATGGTCGCGTATTTTGAATAACAATATAAAAAGTCAAATGGCTCGACATCATACCTCACAGTGTGATAAAAAAAAAAAGATACACTTAATTTATCTACAGTAACGTTGGTGGAAGTAAATGATTTATATTACTTAGAATTTAAAAGCTACAAAATATTATAATACCATCTACGAATAGCAAATAAAAGTATTGGCATGGTAAAAATTTGTCAAAAATTTGTTACTTTTTAAAAAAAATATTTTTTTACAATACACATTTTTGTGATTGATGGGAAGTATTATGTATAAAACATTTATGTAAGGTTTTAAACAAATCATATTTAATTTTTTTAATTCATAATGCAATTTGTTGAAATATATTTTATGTTGTTACGATGTTGGTTTTCCTGTCAAAATATGATCAACAAACACAACTATTGGTTATTATTATTGTTAAAATATGTTAGAAATTTGTGTTAGCCGAGTAGGGTTTTGACAGGAGATCAAAATGGTCGAAAAATAATATTAATATTTATTATGACTTTTTTAATATATAGAAAATAATGATAGATAACTTTAAGTGTTATGATATTAAGTAAAACAATGGAAATGTATTCATAATAGATAAACAACATTTTTAAAGAAATTTATTCTGTTACGGTAGAACAGTTTAACTAAATAGATTTATAAAAAATATCTAAGTATAACAGAAGGAGTGATCTATTTCAATTTTTGACATTTGTTAAAGTACTAAATTATGCGTCGACTGATGAAAAGAAATGTTGACCGACAAAATCGGTTAGGTTATCGCATGTTAGCTTATGTTATTTATCTCTAAATTAGTGACTGTACCGATTCCAATATGGTTGTCCATTCGACTTGTCCTAGTTTTCGTTAAATTTACATATTAAGCTCATGAGTGAAATCGAATTTTGACATCTGTGCTAAACTAAGAAACTGTTTGTAAAAACAAATTGCCTCTTATGTAATTGCCAGCTGTAATACTTTGTTTGTAAATACCTAACGGCTGACAATAGAATACATTTAAAGAAATTTGCATTTTAGCAATGGCAGTTATTTAATTTTTATCGCTTAAATGATACTTTTGGCCACCATCCACGGATCTAAAGCGTTGAATAATTTCCTTCTGTACTCACTAGGTTCAACTCACTATGTTGGCTCAATAAATAAAACACTAAAATATGGGTACATTTTAAATAATAAATATTTATTATTGTTTCGTATTATCTTGCTTGACTAAAAAAGAATTTAAAATTAATTCAGCTAAATTTATTGTGAGAATAATGTAAATGGAAAAAAATGTAATCATACTTTTTATTTGTCTACCAACCAAAGGTATTTCTTTAAAAAATACAAATAATCCAAAAAATATTATATACATGATAAAAAAATTGGTTTAATTAAAATTGTCGCATGGATCACTTTTTTGACTCACATGACTTAAGTTTATGTTATTATGTATTCATATAATTATAAGAATCATTAACAGCTGTTGAAACGCTAAATCAACTTTATCAGATAAATTTAATGACCAATGGAAATTGATTAAAAACAAAATCCGTGTCGAGCCATATTTGAAATTTAAGTTTCAAACTTTAAGTCCGCCATCATAATTATTGACTTCTGTTTATTTACTAGGGGAGGGGTAAAAGTTGAAAAAGTTTACTCCTTCACCTCTAAAGTCGGGTGAGAGGGGGGGTAGTCAGTACAGTTAGATTGGTTAAGTTTGTATAGTTAATGTGTAGTTATATGAAATTGAAAGCTTTTTTAAACATAAGACGTTAACTTATAAACAAAAAAATCTTAAATGTTTCGGTTATTTAAATTTAAAAAAAAGGAAAAATACAGTTTCCCTTTTGAATTTTATGGTTAGGTACCTTATTTGACCCTAGTCGAAATGTTGCACTCGTTTTGTTAACGTCAAAGAGAATATTTTGAAATAATATATTTCAACAACGTTATTATGATATTAAAGATTATTTGATTTTTTCACGTTAGAAATATTTAGCACTTTTAAAGTCGTTAAAAAATAAACCGTTTTTGAGACGATTTTGCTTTTTTTAACCATTCGAGAACGTTTAAAACGTATTTAAACATTCTTTATGTTAATATTTCTCTTATTATTTTCTAATTTTTTTCTTTTTGGCACAAGTAATCTACTAATTTAGTGTACGATTTATCAACACTAGATTCTTGGATTAAATTTTTTTTGCACGGTGCCAATCGTTTCGCGTGGGAAGCCTATGCGGGCATAATAATATTATTATAGTGTAGGCCCGTGTGGTAGGTATCAGCTGTGCAAACTCTCGGTTGAAAGAAAAACAAATTTAAACGAAACAAACGGGTACACTTACCTCAACCGGAACCATAAGGCGGGTAAAATCATTTTTTTTTTTTTTTGTTGACGTTTGTTACATGCGGATGCAAATCAACGGCGGCGATTAAATTTAATATATATATTATTATTATTATTTAAAAAAAAAAAATGATCAAACACTGGCGCAGGTGAAATTTCGATTTCGTTTCAAACGTATCGTACACATTATCCGTTTCTCCGGTTGGACCGCCGTTGCGAACGCTCACGATTCATAAACTAATACTATCACTCTGAAGACTATAGTAAGTAATTCGCAGACGAAGAACGCCCTTGTCCACCGACGTGTCCTCCTACCTTTTTTTTTTTTTCACCGGTCAAACACACAAATCCACTCTCGCTGATATCGACAATTATCATTACTATTATTATCATCATTGGATAACGGTTGCAGTAGGAAGAAAGAATATATATATATTATCTAGTAGAGCTCTAGCAGCTAGAATACTTTTGAAAAAACATCCACACAGACCACACTTGTAACATATTATAACACATATACTATAGGTGGACACGTGTAATGATTATTATAGAAACGCCCAGTCGTACCTGTGGCTATAATATGTGTGTCTCTCATTGTAATTGAATTTTTCAATAACGAGATTTTTGTAAATTAAAGTGAAGGAAAACAAATACAAGTGAATCGTTCTGTGTTTTCTATTTTTTTTTTTTTACATTGCTTCTCATTTACAATCAAAACACACGACTATTTAACATATGACTCCATTAAGTAAAAATATGTATGTTTTAAACATTTGGAGTTGCACCACTTTTACAATGAACGGCCCGAATATTATGTTTTAAATAGCATGGCTATGTTTTTCGGTTTTTCAAATTTCAATAGACTTTAGTCGGTCAACAAAAAAGCAGAAAAAACTCTTTTTTCTTAGTCTAAGAATAAATTGTTTAAAAATGTTTTTTAATTTTATTTTAAAAGGCGAAACTTGACGTAACGAATTTAATGATACCAAAATCGATATTTGTTAATGATAATGTTAATTTTATCTATAAGAAATAATGACAATCATTTAACTGGTAATTAAAAAAGGGGAAAATTTAAGCAACTTTTTAACATAGAAGCATTAAGAACACATAAATATGTAGCAAATCTAAAGAACAGAAATTATACCTGAAAGCTACTTTATTGGGCCAAAAATTTAAACACTACCCTTTCTCTTAGAAGGGGTGGAACTTTTTTCTTGATTTCACTCTTTTGGGCATAGTTATGTGATTAAATGTCTGATATGAAGACTGATTGTAGATTTATAGTAAGGCTGTAACATACATTTATCTTAAAAATCGGTCGTCAAACTTCTTTTTATTAAGAATAATGAGAGATTTTTTCAAGTTATGTCTATTTAGATTAAATGTATGATTTAATAAAAACCTACAGCTTAATCTTAAAAAATACACACATTAAATAAACATATATTTTAATTGTTCAATGTCTCAGTCTTATTATACATTAAAGTCGCTTGATGCTTTTTATTGACTAAATTATTACTAATTTTTTTCCTACTTTTATCACGTTCGGTGTATGCAAGCTAGCTATTAAAGGTAATAAATTAAAATGTAATTTTATGTGTAACGAGGGGAAAAATGCATGACATAAATAATGACCGGTTTTTTAATACTACTCTACCTGTTCCAGGTATACATTTGGTAATTATTGTGGGATTGTTAATAAATCATGTTCAAGAATTACGCACCCAGTTATGCTAAACAAAAAACTTATATTAGCTCAGTTTTCATTTAAAAGCCGTTTTTCTTTCAAATGCTATCACAGTAGCTAGTTAATCAGCAAGGTACAATATTTGCATTAATTAATTGCTCTTTATGAATAAAACTTGAATACCGATTACTAATATTATTAACTAAGAAATATCTCTTGGCTATTACAAAATACATACATACTACATACACAGCTGGGGCAATGTAATGATTTATCCAAAGAAACGTTTTTATTATATTATTTTTATTTGGAAAATAATTAAAAAAATATAAATATATAAAATATGTTAACACAAATGTTGTACACGTCAATCGTTTACCATTAAGATTCCTTAGATTAAATATAATAATGCATTAAAATCGATTTTAATAAAAACTTAAATCTTAATTATAAGGTGAAATCTGCGGAACCGAGATAACGATCGAAGACACTTTACTATGATACTTGGTGTCCAAACCTAACCTAAGACAAAAAGTGTGAAGTGTATAATATATTATTTAATAATAGTTATTATTATATTTTATGGCAATTAAAAAAATTGCGACTATTATGTTGTTAGTTCAAGTTGAAGTAAAGAGTAAGAGTTAATTGGTAAATGGCATTGTTTGTTACAACAGTTTGCAAATCAGATAAATGCATCTTGCATCTCATGTTTTTTATTTGAATTAGAAACAACACGAGAACGAATTATACTTGGACATGGAAATTATTCATTCATTTTGAGACCAGATCTTAGTTAAGCAAAGAAAGTAAATAAAAACTTTGTTCGAAATACATTTTAGAGAATTAGTTCAGGGTTTTAAACAACAAGTGCGTCAGCAGCTCACTAAAACCAAACGCCCTGTAAAAATGGACTGCATATTGACTTACCTTATTCAGATTATTGGGGTTTTACTTTAAGTACATATTTTATGTACCACGTTAATATCCCAGACTGGTGATGTATGAGACACGACTCAATTCTAATACATTCAATTATATCTTTATGACTATTCGTCTTTCTGATCTATCACTCCTAAGGATGACCACATATATATCTATGCTAGTGTAGTATAGAAAATCGATATCTGTATCTCTGTGAGGAAGACTGATAAATGATAAAGAGGGCTAGATATGATAACAAGGACTGGTACGAGATAAGAGAGACTTTCGAGAACTGATAAAGACTTGTATCGTAAAATATATTGTTTTTATCCAAAAATAAAATTGACCAAAACTCTTACCGAACCGTTTTCATTAGGAAACGGTGCGAATTTTGTTTTTAACTAATACCATCCTCCCCATAGGCGACCGAACTAGGCCTAATTCAGGTCATTGAAAACCTATACAACGATAACAACAGCTAATAGCACAAGAGCTCGGTTATCTCACTCTGGGAGAGGCTCCTCTAATTCGAGCGCTGGCCTTAAAGTGATACGTTTTTGATAATTACAGACAATGGGATAGTTTTAACCGTGATCTTTACGAGGTGTACGAGACATACCTACCAACGTACGTCACGTTGGCACAAACAGATCAGCCAAAGGGGAATATACAGTTTAAACTGGTTGTTACCGGTCGAGGAAAAATAATCATCGAAACACTATGATATTCTTTGGCACGAACGCTAGTAGGTCACGAGCGGTAAAGGCTAAACCTTTCCAAATACCTCGTTGGTCGGAATGGAAACAACTCGTATTGGCTGTTATCGTTTTTGTAAAATATATAATAATAACAATATATAAAAGCGATTCAATTACGCAACACGAGCGCCGATGTCTGTCAGAGCTGTTATGCCTGACCGACAAGAATCAACATGGTTCAAGGCGGGAGCGATTTTTTTTTTGGTGGGCGATCCCATTGTGTTACCGAGGGGTCGTAACCGCCGTCAAAATGTATACACTGTCTGTTACAATGATTCGGCACATGTCCACCACTGTAATATACATTCTAGAGGAGCCTTATGTACCTAAGTAAAATGAATATAATAGTTAATACACACACAGACACGGGTATCCTATCCGTGAATAATAGCAATGGTCCTCGTCTAGGTCTATCCCGGATTGTCTGTCTGTGTGTCGAAGCGTACTTGTACAGCGTACGCTGTTAGTAAGTCATGGTCACATTGGCATAACACACCCAAACCCAGGTGATTTAAGATTCCAGGGAGAGTAACATGTGATATACTTTACCGAGTTCATAATAACCTATAATTATGGTAAACTCGGAGAACAATAGCATAATATCTCCTATAGTCATATTAGAATAATTCGCTCACAAAGGCCTGCCCGAACTTCGCTGGTCCTGTCTGCACTTGATAAATATTAATCTCTTGCTCCGTCTCATACGGCTACTTAAAATGTATAATTTGTTTTTAAACGAAAATTCAAGGAGAAACCACACTTGCAAAGCTATACAAAATTGATCAACTTTGAGAATCTGAAAGGTACTATTTAGCGCCAAAAATATTAAAGTCCACTCCTTCCACTTCGAAATCGTGAAATATTACCTACCGATAAACGTTGACGGTCCAACAAAATATCATAAGCCCATTCCCCTAAAAGAGATGGAAACTATTTCTTTAATTTCTTTTTTTAGGGTAAGTTTTAGGGTTTAAGGTCTGAAAATTAGACCGAAAGTAGATCTAGAATGATCAGGCTATAACATATAAAATTTATTAAAAAATCTGTAGTCAAACTATTTGTATTAAGGGAAAACCTATTGAAAGTTTCCCACATTTTCCAGGGTAGGTTATGTCCCGGTGGTAACGCTTCTGTGGGTACGTCCCAACCTGTGAATTTTTGTATGATGGTGATATTGACTACTACAAATTAATAGCCCGACCATGTTTGATGAACCCCTAGTGTTCAGTTTTACCAAGTGGTTCTTGTTTTTAATTATTATTATAAAATGTATTTTGAAAAGTTAGTGAAAATGTTCTAAAAAAAAAAAATAAAATATGAATTCTTAATTACTTTTAGATTGTCCTAATGTTGAGTACTAGTATAATAGTTTATCCCATGGTCATGAAGTCTTTTTGTCACAGCTAAATTAACACTACAAGTAATTTTAGTCAAAGTGTACCATGTATTTTTTGTGCCGGTTAAGGTGTTTATAGAAAATAATAATAATAAATCGAAATTAGGACTGACAAGCTCCAAAAGAAACAATGGAATTTCGTGTTTAACATTTAATAACAGGTTTTTCGCGCTAATTGATGTGTAAAGCCTTAAACACGGATTTCATAATACCCACGTGCAAAAATTAAATTTTATAATGTTTATAAATGAATCATAATATTATTGATAAAATATAGACAGGATTTGTATGTTTTAAAAATGTTAAACATTACAGTTAAAACATTGCAAATTTAATCATTTTTCTTTTATCACTGAAATTAATTGGAAAAATATATTGTTTTCCTAATCAACTATTGTTAATATTTATTAACAATAGACTATCGGTATCGCAATGATCATTATTAAACCAGTATTTCTTAAAAA